CCCATCGTGAGAGTTGACGGGCCTGGACACGAGCTTGGGAGGCGGAGGGTGCCCAGTGGACACGGGCTGATGCCTGCTCCTGGCAATCCCTTCCGAGCCGCGTGCCAGATGCTGCTGGGTGTGGGGGACCGGTCTACCGGCCGCTGCCACCCCAAGGCACCCCCAGAGCCAAGCGCTTTAAACAGACAGCACCGCTGCCTCCCGGCGTGTGTCGGAGAGGACACCAACGCCTTGCAGGTCCCACTCGGGGGCTTCTCTGCTGGAGGGAGAGGACAGTGCCGACAGGGGCAGATGGGAGACCCTGCAGACCCTCATCTTTGCCTATCTGGCCTGACCTTTCTCCCGCTGCAGGGAAGATGGTCCTGCCACTCCCCCCAGCCGTGCACACCCACCAGGCTGCCGTGTGGCCTGCTCCTGTCAGTGCAGATGCCGCCTCCTCCCGGGGACCCTCCTTGCCCCAACGCTACCCTGCGGTGGTGGCCACCTTCACACAGTGTCTCTTCCTGACCCTTGCCTGTGCATTTCCTCTTGGCTTCGTGTGGTCACGTGGTTAAATGACACACGCTCCTGATGCCTGCAGTGAGGGTCAGTCCTGTCCTGCCCTGCGGTCAGCAGGGATGGCTCTGCCCGCGGCACAGGCGTCTCTCTGCAGGACAGGGCAGCAGGCGTCAGCGTTTGGGGGAGCCGCCAACACATTTTTGGTGGTGGACCGTCCAGTGCAGGAGCCAGGATGGGTCCGCTGGAGTCGCCAGCTCTCGCCGCCCAAGGTAGGTGGCTAAGGCCCAGCTTTGCGCCCCGGGGCTGTCAGGACGCACCTACCAAACGAGCTACCCGCCTGAGGGCAGGAGCTGGGCCAGCGCCAGTGGCGTCATGGTTAGGGTGGCTGGACCCCGTGTGGCCGACTGCAGTGTGAGTCCCAGACTGGTAGCTTGAAATCATGTCACACTCGTGTGCAAGCCTGAAACCCCGAGAGAACAGTGCAGGAGAAGGAAGGGACTGCAGCATGGCCATCTCCCGGTGGGGGGATCCTCACTCTCTCTCTCTCTCTCTGTCTCTCTCTCCGGTGAGTGTACACCACATAGCAAATTAAAACAAACAAACAAACAAACACCAAAACAACAACAACAACAATAAAAAAGTGGCACTTTTTAGGAAGGAGAGGGTAGGACCCTGCTCTTTCTGCCTGGGTCTCGTTGGCCAGTGGAGGGTCCTCGATAGCCCAGGACTGTTTGCCAAAGCCCCGAGGAGGCCCCAGCTGGGAACAGAGGTCTTCCTCAGACCCTGAGCCCTGCTGCGTGCCGCGCACTGGCTGAAGGTCTCGGCCGGTGAGTGCGAGGACTGTTGTCATGGATCTTGGAACCAGCTCGAGTCCTCGCTTACTGAGACCTCTGACAGTGCCCAGCGTAGCGGAGGGCTCGCTTTAAACCCACTGAGAACACGTACGGACCAGCAATCTCGCTGACAGGAAGTCTCCTTGGGTAGATGGTGTAAGTACGACCTTAAATGTAGGTTATTAGGTGGCGTTTATATGCTGACGGTAATTACAGTAGCAAAGGGAGAGATCTATAGATTTCTAAGATGTAGAAATTACTTAAAACACAATACAATGATATTTTAAGAATGTGTGCATCCCTGATCCAGAAATTGAAATCTGAAATACTCCAAAAGCCGACGCTTTCAGGGCCAAGAAGACGCCACAGTGGAAAAGCCACGCCTCCTGCGACCGGGAAGCCAATGCTGTAATAGTCGAGCCCCGTGTCAGTTACCTTCGGGCTCGTGAGTACAGAGCTTGGGGACGGATGGCATGTGTTTAGACGTGAGCCCCCGCATCATCGCTAACCATCCGTATGCAAATGCTCCCACATCTCAACTCCGAAACATCTCTTAGGCCCCGGCTCTTCCG